GGTTACCTGCTGGAAAAGTGGAAGAATTCAAACTCACAGTGGTGGGGAGACTGTTGAAGAGACAAATCTTGGGGAGGCTGAGCCCACCCGCACCACACTCACTCTTCTGAGGAACTTAGGACAATGTATCTGGACTCATGTGTGTTCACCAGGAGGGTCTATCTGTGAAGCCACACTGCTGGGCTCCAGCCTGAGGCTCTCATTCAGTAGGTCTCGGCAGGTCTTGGAATATGCATATATGCATTCTTTTTTTTTTTTTTTCGAGAGATTTTTGCTATAGGATATGTGTGCTTGCTTGAGAGAAAGCAAGAAATCACTCCCTAGGGAGGATGGCCACACCACAATTCCTTCTCCTCCATTCTCCTTTCAGGATTTTGGGCGCACACGCACATACACCAGGCATGAGTTTCAAGCCACTGGATCTGGGACTCAAACCGTGGTGGACTACTTTGGAGTCCAGCAACGTAACCATTGCACCATCTGCTAGTCCTTTGGAATACGCATTCCAACAAATTCTCTAGCCATGTGGATGCTGTTGGTCCAGGGACCACACTTTGAGAACCACCGAGTGAGAGGGCCAACTGCCGTCATTGAGCCACTGTCTTCCATGCACTGACTTTAAATGCAATTTCAAATGCAGATGTTAAATGACTCAGGCAAAAGAGAGCCTACATAACCCCATCTGAGGTCTGAGAACCACACACTGAACAGGTACCTACCTAGAATATCGATTTCACTTAAAGATTTCTGCAGGGGCAAAAAAAAAAATGCATACACAGTCATTTCACTGGCAAGTTGAAAACATTATGCTACTGTTATAATGAATACGAAGTATAACTTAGTGGAATTTTTTAAGACAAACTAAGGGATTTCTAAGAACCTCCTCCTTTTCCAGGAGTACCTTCCAGGTTGCCCTCTCAGAAATATGCAACATTGCTGCTAGCCCTGCACTTTGAATTATGCTTCCATTTGTGTACATGTGTACATGTGTGCACACGTTTTGTGCACATACATGTTATTCTACCATTAGCACATGTTTTGTGCACATACATGTTATTCTACCATTAGAGTTTTTTGGGGGGAGGAGGGAGACCTGTCCCCTGAGAAACACTGTTTTAACGTTAGCAATTACTAATACCTTAAGTGAATTAACTTTGGGGGGGGGGGGGAGACCTGTCCCCTGAGAAATAATGTTTTAACATTAGCAATTATTAATACCTTAAGTGAGTTAACCTAGCTACCATGTTCCACGACACTAGCAGTGAGGTGAGGGGAAAAAATAAATGTGTTCTAAGTAGGGAGGAAGAGGAGTGGGAATGGCAAAAGCAGCTGAACATGGCAATTCCAACAAGGATGCTATCCGGGGGGGAGACCTGTCCCCTGAGAAATAATGTTTTAACATTAGCAATTATTAATACCTTAAGTGAGTTAACCTAGCTACCATGTTCCACGACACTAGCAGTGAGGTGAGGGGAAAAAATAAATGTGTTCTAAGTAGGGAGGAAGAGGAGTGGGAATGGCAAAAGCAGCTGAACATGGCAATTCCAACAAGGATGCTATCCCGAGAAAGCAGGCAGGGGCCTGGCCCCAACAGGTGCCCGGACTTGAAAACCCGTCACTGCCTTCGAACTCCTCAGCTCATTCTGTTTTCTGATTCAGGCCACCCTAGACAATTCCCAGGCAGGGCTAGACAACACTATTTGCCAAGCAACAGCTTAGAACGTTTTCTTTCCTACTTTCTCCAATATCATTATAATTAAATTTTTTTCTCTCTCTGGGACTTTGCTGCAGTGGATACATACCAGTTCCCAAGTCCCCACCTGTGCCCTGTTTATTAACTCAGTCGCCATGGTCCACTGGGAAATCAGGGTGCGGCCCCCAGAGCTGGCAGACACGAGACACAGGCCCACATTTATTTTGAAGATTATTTCCCCTGGCATCAGAGAGCTGACCACAGCAACGAGACAGAGGCTTAACCTATGGAATACAACCCAGTTATCGAAGGGCTCTACCTGTGTGATGAACTCGGGGAAGCTGAGGATGGGCCCGTTGTGGAAGACAGGGTAATAGAAGACGTAGGCCAACATCCAGGGAAAGGAGCAGGAGGCCTGGGCGGTGGGTGGCTGCTGGCAGGACTCGAGGCTGAAGCTGGTGTAGTACAGGCAGCGGACGGTCAGTGTGAACTGCAGCAGGTAGTATTCGCTGTCTGTCCTGTACCACCTTCTCTACAAAGGCAAAAGGAGAGGACAACCTCTGAGTGGTAAGGAGGTACTTGACCCAATCCCAGACGGTGCTGGCTAGCAGGTTCATCGTTAGTTGAGGCCGGGGGCCCTGGGAGGAGATCTCTTCCTCAGGTAGAGCAGCCACACAGTGAAGAGAGTCAAGAACCTATGAACGACAGGCAAATGGCACGAGTGATCAAAGCAGTTAATGAGCAGTGCGGGAAAGGACGGCGCCAACTCCAACCAGCCACTCAGCCCCGGGTCTGGTGCCACGTAAGAGAGGTATTCCTGGACACGCATCTATCAGACAGGTGCATGGAGAACGGGATCAGCTACCTCTAACAGGGAGAGACTGCGACAGCTCCTTCAATAATTCTGATCACGAAGAAGCCCTTAAAATGTCACAGAGGATTTTGTCTTCAGCAGGTTTTCTTTTTGCTCTTTCGTTACTAATTCACCTCCACATTTAGTAACTACTATCTGCCAAATAGGCTCTAGAAACACATATTCAAAGGAAATGATATTGAGACTCTGAGGTAGGAAGATCATGATATAGCAAGACTCTGTCTTTTAAATGAGGGGGGGGTGGCCAGCAGGTGGCACGGTGGTTAGGGGAGCTGGACTCCCATGTGGCCAACCATGGTGCAATCCCGGACCTGGTGGCTTGCTTTCTCACTTTCTCTCTGTCTCTCTCTCTCTCTCTCTCTCTACATATCTTTCTCTGTCTTTTTCTGGTCAGATTAAAATAAATAAGTAAATAAATAAAGTTAAATAATTCTTTTAAAATAATTAATTAATTAACTTATTAATTAATTAATTAAAGGGGATGGGGAGAGCAGTCAGTAGCAGTGGTGCAGTGGTAACACAGTGCTCTGCAATGCTAGACCAGTCGATGCACATGGGAAGGTGCAGCCCAAGGTCTCCCTGGACATGCCAGGCACACATGTGCAAGTCTGTGATCTGAGCTAGATGAGGCTAAGGATGAACTGCAGCAGAGCTCACTCTCTTTCTCTGAATAAATAAAATAAAATAAACTTTAAAAAAAAAACAAAGAAGAGTCATTGTCCTCAAAGTGTTTAAATTTTCATATAGGAGATGGGTACATAAAAATGCAATTACAGGGGACCGGCAGGTGGCATGGTAGTCTCTCTAGTCAAGTTAAAATAAGTGAATAAATGAATGAAATTAAATAAATAATTATTTTTTAAAATGCAATTACATAGAGCATAAACCAAACCAAAACAAATCAAAACAAAACAAAAAAACAGACATGTACGAAAAGATGCATGGAATAAAAGACAAGAAAGGGGAAAACATGGTAGCAATATAAAGCAGTAAACTCACGAATAATTTTATCATTTCCGTAGCTTTCTCTGTTTTCTTTTCTTTTCTTTCTTTTTTTTTTAAGAGATTTTTGCCTTAGGCACGTGCACTCCCCAGAGAGAGACGATGAGAGGGGAAAATGAGAAATCACCCCCCCAGGGGAGATTCCTTCTCCTCCATTCTCCTGGGATCTCTGGCATGTGTGCACATGCATCCAGCATGAGTTTCAAGCCAATAGGTCCAGGACTTGAACCCTGGTGGGTCATTTGGAGCCCAGTGATGTAACTGCTATGCCATCTGCGGATCCTTCTTTCTGTATTTCCTAAAATACATCTGTATTGCTTTTTTTTTTTTTTTTTTTTTTTTTTTGAGAGGTTTTTGCTTTAGGGCACGTGTGCTTGCCAGAAAGACAAAGAGAAACAGAGAGGAAAAAAAGGCAAGAAATCATCCCTCAGGGGGAATAGCCACGCCACAATCCATTTTCCTCCATTCTCCTCTTAGGACCCTGGGAACACATTCAAACTTGCCCAGTGTGAGTTTAAGCCACTAGGTCCAGGACTCAAAACTGTGGTCCACTACATGGGAGTCCAGTGACACAGCCATTACGCCAACTGCTGGTCTCTGTATTCCTTTTTTTTTTTTTTTAAGGAGAAAAGCTATTTATAAAATTATATCCAAGGTCAAGAACTGTTTCAAAAAGAAGAATCATAAGGGTCAGGTGTGTGTGCGATGTACACACTCACCCAAGAAAGGCAGAAAAAAAAGGGATTTCGACCACCAAAGACCCTCTGGCCAGACTTTACCCTCCTACTCCCCAGTCTAGCATGGAGCCAGCTGTGCAAAAGGAGAAAAACAGTGCTATTTAGAGACTGCACATCACCTCTTTCTGCATTCCTCTGAATGCTCAGATTTAACTACAAAAAAAAAAAAAAAAAAAACAGGAAAAAAAAAAAAAATAGAGGCCATCAGATGACCAGAAACCACCACAGAGGTACAAGAAATATGAAAAATCAAGAAAATATCTCTCTTCTAATGGAAAAGAATAACTTCTCTCCCTCCATAAAGAATACAGAGGAACTCATGGAAATGTCAGATAAAGAATTTTAAATATTCATAGTGACAAAACTAACAGAAATGCAAGAGAATAGAGACAAGGAGCTCCAGAAGATGCAGGAGAAAAGAGACGCCAAATTCCAGGAAGTGAGGAAGTCCTTGCATGATCTGAAAGAGGAAATGAACATCACAAAAAAAGAACCAAGCAGAACTATTAGAGATGAAGGCTGTAATACAGGAAATCAAAACTTCTGTTGAAAATATCAAAAGCAGATTAGATTGTGCAGAAGATCGAATCTCAGATGTAGAAAATAGAACCTCTGACCTAGAGAAACTCACCAAAAAGACTGAGAATATAACCAAAAATAATGAGAACAGCATACAAGTAATTCTAGATACCATTAAATGCCCAAACATCTGGATCATCAGTATCCCAGAAGGTGAAGAAAGTTATAAGGGCATTGATGACCTATTCCATGAAATCTTGGAAGAAAACTTTCCAAACCTAGAGAGGAACTCAAATATTCAGACCCAACAAATACAAAGCACCCCACATAGAATCAACCCAAGAAGATCTTCAAGGCATATCATAGCCAGATTGAACAAAACCACAGATAGAGACAAGATACTAAAATCAGCAAGAGAGAAACATCAAGTTACTTTCAAAGGATATTCCATAGAGCTAACATCAGATCTCTCATTGAAAACAATGCAAGCAAGGAAATAATGGGAAAATATATTCAAAGCATTAAGTGAAAAATAATTTCAACCAAGAATACTATGCCCAACCAGATTATCTTTCATATGGGAAAAAAAGACTAAAACATTCTCAGATCAACCAAACCTGAAAGAATTTACCAACACGAGACCAGCTCTCCAAGAAGTGCTGAAGGGAATACTGTACCAGGAAAACTAAAGTCAGACACACAGAAATAAGAGTACAAGGAAAATCCAAGAGAAGGGCCAGCCTAATAGTAGGGACAAGTCCAGAGTCACATGTTAACTTCCAGAGTTTAAATGGAAAGATCAGACCACAGAAACACTGCAAATTCGATAGAAGAGAGATTAATTACATGAGTCTGAACTAGTGAAATAGAATATTTTTACTTTAGACTAAAACATTACTGATTCCCTTCAAAGGTTTGATTTCCATATTTAAGGATTTTTGTCTTCTCTTGAACTGTTGATAGGTTCATCTACCTACTATTTGAACTGAATCCTAACCTTTCTCCTGGCTTTAAGTTTTATGCAAAATTCTCTTAACATTTTTTTTTGATCTATTAAAATTAAAACGTTTTTTTTTTAAACTTCTTTTTTTTTTTGAGAGAGAGATTTTCGTTATAGGGCGTGTGCGCTCGCCAGACAGACAGAGAGAGACAGAGAGACAGAAAGCGAGAAATCACCCCCCAGGGGGGATGGTCACGCCACAATCCCTTCTCCTCCATTCTCCTCTTGGGATCTTGGGCATGCCCGCACACTCGCCCAGCGTGAGTTTTAAGCCACCGGGTCCGGGACGCGAACCGCGGTCGACTACGTGGGAGTCCAGCGACATAGCCATTACACTAACTGCTGGTTCCCAACTAAAACGTTTTTGAAATTAAAAATACATTAAAATACCTATTAATACCTATTTAATGACTACAGTAAGCTATATAGCCCTAGCAAGGTGCTACTTTATAGTATGTTCACTTTACTCACTGAGGTTTATGCCTAAAGTCAGACATGTGTTCATAAATATGTATATATCAGCTGTGCTTGCTATTGAAAGTCTTTAAATTAATTATTATCTTTAGTGAATCGATAAAACATAAAAAGAAAAAAAGCCATGGAAAACAACTGTACGTACCAGACAGTGTGGGAGAAGGAGGGGAACTGGCAGAGGGTGAGAGGTAGGCAATCGGGGTGGGGGGCAAAATATATAAGAAACAAGAAATAGATAATTATGTGTTGATGATAACATGTGTGGTGACATCCTCAATTAAGGCAATATACAAAGTTTACTGGATGAAAAATTTCATTTTGTCTACTGTATTGATGTACAGTAAATGACTGTAAGTAAATAAATGGGAAAAAAAGAAAAACAAAGAAAGATAGAGAAAAAGGGAGAGGGGAAAAGCACCCTCCCCCCCATGAGACACGGTCAAGCTACAACCCGTTCTCCTCCATCTCACCCTCCTTTCAAGATTGTGGGCACGCACACACACAGGCCTGGTGCATTTCTCAAGCTACTGGGTCTGTGACCCAAACCATGGGGCTGACAATGTGAGGTCTGACTACCTTAACCAGACCACAAAACCAGCCCCATAAGGGTCCACATAAGGCTGTCCACAGAAAAACTAACCACTAAATAGTTCCTGCTTTGTCCAGGACTTCGACAGCCACCAAGGTGGGAGAGGATATTCAGATGAAGAGAACCACATGAGCAAAAGCATTGGAAACCCAACTCATTTCTAGTCATCTGCTCTCCTTCTGCAATGTTTTCAAACCACCATAAACTCTGCATATCTGAATATTTATTCACTACTAGCATCTGTAATTGATGTTAATTGATCCTGAAGGAATGACAAATACGATTAGGTTTTGTTTTGTACATTTGCCAGGTCCCCCAAAAGTTAAGTGTGAATTCATTTCTACTTTCCCACAGATCTATTTTTAAGCATACTTATTTAAATGATTGCCTAGTTATTAGTTCTAGGAAGTTAAATACTATTTCTTAAGATAGAACTGCTACTTTATTTACTCTCATAAGTTTAGATTTTGACACGGGTGCTTAAAATATATTAGCCCCAGTCCGTTGGTGACAGTGAGAAAAATTAAGATAGACTGACAACAGCGAGAAACACCTGAATTTTAAAAAATCACAATTTTTGCAAAATGGCTTAACATAAATTATTTTGTTGGACCCTTGGAACACCCCCAAAGGGAGGCAGCACAGCAATTACTTCCATTTTCCAAGTGATAAAGTTGAAGCTTCACCCGAAGTTAAGTAACTTCTTCCAGCTTGAAGAGGAGGGAGAGACAGTGTACAGAAAAGACCAGAAGCCAGGTCATTATCTTTCCCATCATGTGTTGATCCAAGGCACACCAATTTTAAATGTGTTCACCTGGATCAGTAAAAGAGAGACTGACTGAATGAACAAAAACAAAGACTTCAGGAGTTCCAGTCCCACCATGATTGAAGGAAGACTACCAAACACTTGCCAGTATTTTTGGTGCAAGTCATGTTGATGGAGTGAAAGTGAGAGAAGAGGGCCACCAAAAAGCAGATCATTCAGCATCACACACATTCAGCGAGCTGCTGGCCCTTACAAATGGGGACACAAGAGCAGTAGCACACAAGTGACCCATGTCACGTGGCGCGTTGTGGGACACTGCACACACCCATCTCTTCCTCTAGCCCTGTACAACCTCTATAGGAATCTACAAAGGCCTGGTCAGACACAGCCGTGTACTCAGGTGCATGAAGACACTGCTCTTCCTCTGGCCTGCAAGGCAGATGCACAGATATGTAACCACGCCAAGCAGCAGATACGGATGTCAACGTCACATCACGCAAAGTGAACAGGAACAGTCCTCAGAGAAGCTGTCAATACCACTCATCGATTCCACCTGAGGACTCACAGAAACGGAAGCAAACAAACAGGCATCTAGGCGGCGGTTTACACAGAGACAAGAACAGCTTTAGAGACAGATCTAAGCTGGACTTTGAAGGAGACAGGAGCATCGTGTGGGTGGGGATGGAGGGGTGGTTCAAAGAGACCAGATTAAAATGTGTGCAATTGTGTAAACAGATAAATATAAGTGGATTAGCCTGACTCAGAACAGCTCCTGCAATTCCCTTCAGGCAGCGTCTGAGACCTACACTCTGGGAGGAGGTGGATGTGGACGGATACTCATGCAGCGTCTAGACCCACACTCTGGGAGGAGGTGGATGTGGACGGATAACAGCACTGGTCCTGCCACAGGCACACGGCCTGGTGTTCAGAGCTGCGAGTCTCCCAGGCTGTGGTTCTCAGAGCTGCCTGACCCTGAAGCTGGTGGGCTCTAATGCCCTAAGCCCAGAACCACAACAGTGGACCTGGGTCTGGGCTGACACCCTCCTTGCCGCAGTCTCCCCGCCCCCAGGAGAAAGTTCCCATTTCTAACATGGCTGAGAGTGCTATACAGACTAACACTCCCCTCCTCTGCACCCACAGACTTGATGGCTTCCTGGCACCTGTCTGACGACAAGGCTGATTCTCAGACTTGAAATGCAAAGGGTACATTCAACAAGTAGGCAGGACAGGGAGGCTCTGCAGTGTTCCCACCCAGGGCTCAGCGAGGATGCACAGGCAGAACCAAGCCAGCTGAGACAGTTGGGAGTTGTCCAGGGGATGCTGCTCCCTCCTTCCAGGAGGTGCTCAAGAAGCACAGCAAAGCCAGAAAGCGTGGTGGTGGAGGAGCTCACTGACGGATGCAATCGGCCCAGCGGCGCACACAGAACCCTCAACTCAGCACACTGCCTCAGTGGCCTGCCTCTCCGGGGCCAAAGTCCGTGTCCATGCACCAAATATAAAAACGCACTGTTACTGTGACTAAGAAGAAAGAAAGTGAAGAAGGCAAACACCTGCAAAGGAAGAATTTACTCCTGAAAACAAAAGTCACAGGGACCAGCAGTTAGCATAATGGCTATGTTGCTGGACTCCATGTAGTCGACTACGGTTCGCGTCCTGGACCCGGTGGCTTAAAACTCACACCAGGCGCATGTGCGTGCGTGCCCAAGATCCCCCAGAGGAGAACAGAGGAGAAGGGATTGCGGCGTGGCCATCCCCCCTGGGGGCTGATTTCTTGCTTTCTGTCTCTCTGTCTCTCTGTCTGTCTGGCAAGCACACACGCCCTATAGCAAAAACCTCTCCCAAAAAAAAATCTCACACAGAAGTGAGGTTCGGAGGGCCAGACAGTGGCACAGCAATAACAAGCCAGACACATACGGGAAGATCCCAGGTTCCTCCTTACATGCCAAGTGCACACGTGCGTGCCCATGATCTGGGCTGGCTGAGGGCGAATCGCTGCATGGAGTCCCTGTTTGGGATGCCTGCTTCAGTCATCTCTCTTTCACTCTCTCTCATCAAATAAATAAATAAACTTTATAAAATATACAAAGAGAGAGAGAGGAGTGTGGGCCCAGTGTTCTCCACTGGCCCAACAAGAGGTGAGTCTGTCCAAACGCCTCCAGGTTTATAAAAACGAAAGCTTGTTCTGTGCCCTTTGGGGCAAAACATTTTATTTTCAAAATTCTCTCAATTCAAAGGGCTTGCAGTGGAGTACATAAGAAGATAATAAATAAATCTGTTTCATCAGCTAAAGAAAACACCTGCTTGGGGAACCAGCAGTTAGCGTAATGGCTATGTCGCTGGACTCCCACGTAGTCGACCGCGGTTCGTGTCCCGGACCCGGTGGCTTAAAACTCACGCCGGGCGCGTGTGCGTGCGTGCCCAAGATCCCGAGAGGAGAATGGAGGAGAAGGGATTGCGGCGTGACCATCCCCCCTGGGGGGTGATTTCTCGCTTTCTGTCTCTATGTCTCTCTCTGTCTGTCTGGCGAGCGCACGCGCCCTACAGTG